GGGAGGCAGAGCCAGGCGGATCTCTGTGAGTTCGAGGCCAGCCTGGGCTACCAAGTGAGTTCCAGGAAAGGCACAAAGCTGCACAGATAAACCCTGTCTCAAAAAAACAAAAAAAAACAAAAAAAAAGAAGAAAAAAAAGAAAAGAAATATACAAACTCCTTTCAAGAGATCACTTTTTGTAGAATGAAGACTTCACCATGATACTTTATTTTCCAAATTCATGTATCTATGAACCATCTTCTGAAATGAGAAACCCAGCCAGCAAGTTATTTGACAGTTGCTGAGTTATTTCTATTCTTTAACATCATCTGACCCAAGTTCATTCTAATCCCATCTTCATTTATCCAAATCCAGTCGCTCAATACAGAAATGACCTTCTTTTTCCTGTATCCATATTTGTTGGCACTTTGGAGGAACTCTTTAGCCTACCTCAAAATGATTTTTCAGTATTACTAATTTTCACCCTTAAATAAATACATTTGCATCTTTGGGGCTATTATATTTTCAAAAGTTGCTTAACAACAGGCAGTTGAAAGAACATGGTATATTCGACTTTGTCTTGAAGAATTTAAGGTCAATATTGTGCAATTTCCATGCAATGGTTTGTAGGTTAACATAAAAATTAAAGAAGATAGGTATTTCAAATTTCATGAAAATATTAGTGCTTTTATTAACATGTAAGAAGTAAGTGCTGATGGAGACATAATTGTTATTTTACTTATAGGAATTTCATGAGACTAATCTTCAAGGAATTCCATTAATAAAGAATTGTAATATCATTTCTCAAATTCAACTAAATCTGACTATTTCATAACAGTGGATGCTCCTATCTTCTGGTTTCTTTCTCTCTACAGAGCATGTTTTTCAGCCTAGAAATGCGCAATGGCTACCTACATGTGTTCTATGACTTTGGATTCAGCAACGGCCCTGTGCATCTTGAGGACACAATGAAAAAAGCCCAGATTAATGATGCAAAATACCATGAGGTATAGTCATTGTACTTCGGATGGGTTGGGTTTTAACTCTTAGACCAGGTGGCCAAATGCAGTGGGTGGGATAATAAATTAATACACCCACATCTGAAGAGCAATTCATGTGCCCTCATCTACTCCACCCCGGGAAAACACATGTTAAAATTTCTAACAAGAGTCACTGGAAGTTCCCTTTTCTTTAAAAGGGATTCATAGACCAAAAGTCTCTTTGTTAATCTTAAATGTCTTGCTTATAAATAGCGGACCAACAAAATAGTGTGTGTGTGTGTGTGTGTGTGTGTGTGTGTGTGTGTGTGTGTGTGTGTTGAACATGTTAGAATGCAGATACAAAGCCCTTATTACTTATACTTTAAGCCTCATTAATAGGTTATATAAGTAAATATAGAATTTTCTCTTGAACTTGTTCCCTAGAATGTAGAAATGCCTAGTGATTTTCCTCATGAAGAGGATCCCAAAAGTATGTTTGCTAGTCTTAAACCATATTCATAGTCTGTTGAAAATACCCTTTATCTACATCTTCAACAACTTTAAATATATAATTTAATAAGTCATATAAAAGATGTAATATCTTTTAAGTCAAACACAGATGCAGTTGCTAGCTAGCTGTTTTTCCTTTTTCAGTTCAGTGTCCAGAAGCTTCCTAAGGATGGCTTTCAGTAAAAGCAGAACTCAACTGTTGGTCTGACTAGCATTTTTACAGATTTGCTAGAACTGCGACTAGAACAGTGAGCTTGCTCAGAACAAAAGCCCTGTGCTTCCTAGAAACACAGGCGATATCTCTTTCAACTCTGCTCAGGAACTTGCTCACTGTCTTTTAAACAACAATTCCATGTTTATTTATGCGAATCTAGTAATTCAAAATAATACAGAAATGGTACCCAGAACTGACACCTTGATAGCATGCACTCTACAATCCAGAAAGCACCTGCTTAAGCATGTAGTGGTGCTGTGCAGGGGCTAGAGGGACTGGAAAGTGAGGAGTTGCCCACTGTGTGGACAGTTTTTACTGTAGTAGATGAATCAATTTTAGAGATCTGCTAAATAACATGATGCTAGTACAAATACCAATTATTAGAATTTATTGCTGGACATGTAGTTCCGTGATGGAGCACTGTCCTAGGCAAGTGACAGGCTTGCTATTTTAAACACTTTTGCAGGGATAGTCATGCACATCCATGCACCCACATGCGACCTGGGTTCCATTCCCAGCACCACAAAAGAAAATACATCTTGTTGGGAGGACAGATCTTATAATGTTATGTGTTATACACACACAGAGAGAGAGAGAGAGAGAGACAGAGACAGAGACCACAAGGGGGTACAATGAAGCCATAAAACTTTAAGAAATACTAGATATTGTTAACTTGATTGGGCTGGTGATATAGTGGGTATTTTCATATGTCTAAACTTCACAAATTATATAACCTGTTTAAATATGGGCAGTTTTATAATCAGTGATACCTTAACCAAGCTTTTTAAAATTTTTTTAAAGAAGATAGATGCTTTTAAGTTCTTTGTAGATCTTCTCAGAAGAGGAAGGAGAAAACAAACAAACAAACAGAAATAACAGGACTTCTAGAAAAATTTAGCCTGTGCTAGTTCCTTTCCCAGAAAGGGATGGATCCTTCCCCTCAGAAATATAAACTGCTAGTTCACATCACATAAACCATAGTTTTCATAACTGTGAATAAAAGGGAAAATCTATTCCCTATCTTGTGAACAAAGAAGAACACAGGTGGTTAGAAACAGGATAGTTAAAATATACTAAAATTTTATTTTAAAAAACCCTAATTGTTAAACAGGCTTACAATGCCTTGTTTCCTCCAGATCTCAATCATTTACCACAATGACAAGAAAATGATTCTGGTGGTGGACAGACGGCATGTCAAGAGCATGGATAATGAAAAGAAGAAAATACCTTTCACGGACATCTACATTGGAGGCGCCCCCCAAGAAGTTTTACAGTCCAGGTACAGCTCTTTCGTTACACGGCTTTCCACTGCTCATGATCGACTGATGAGTTTGCAATACCCAGGAGAGGTCCGATGAGAGGCTTGAGCGTCCTGGCTCGCTACTTTTACTCACCTGCACAGGTATAGACAGACATAGCCGCGTCTCCACCGGCCCCCTGCAGCCAGCCTATGGCCGCCTTAGATCAGCATCTCCTGTGTGTAATTTACAGATTTCATTAATAGAACATTATTTTAGAACACTCTCCTACAGTGTTGCTCAAGGAGAGGAGGAGGAGGAGGAGAGCATAACGTATCATGTTGAAGATGAAATGGTTTGTATACTTTCACTTTTCATTTAGTCTTGAAACTTATTTTGAGCTCTTCAATGGTGACTGGCAGTGTGTACCTTCGGGAGGGTATACCCGAGGCCATGGTTTGTGTGTGCTGACACATTGTTCTGGTGGATTCGATAATTCAGCTCTTACTGTGCATTAAATGCATAGGAACAGAGCTGGAGAGATGGCTCAGCGGTTAAGAGCATTGGCTGCTTTTCCAAAAGACCTGGATTTGATTCCCCACACCCACACGGCAGCTCACAACCGTCTGTAACTCCAGTTCCAAGGGGATCCAACAACCTCTTCTGGCCTCCACGATCCATGAACACGGCGCATAGATATACACACAGGCAAAATACCCAGACAAAAAAAATTGAAATAAATAAATCTCAAAATAAATAAATTCCATCTACGTCACCTGATTGTTATAAAGATAGCAATTGATAATGTAAGTTAAAACTTTTTGAGAACTTATAAAGAGGTAAGCAAGTTGTCTCGACTTGGAGCTCAGTCTGCTCCACACAAGGGTTTGCCACAGCTCTATGCTTATCCAAAACAAGCGTGAGACTAGAGATGGTTTTAAAGCCACTGTGATTGTAAGTAAGCAGAGCTCTAGTATATATGCCATGCGGCTTACCAGCACAGCCGTGCCAGTGAGGACTGATTTCCTTTTCCAGGACCCTAAGAGCACATCTCCCCCTAGATATCAACTTCAGGGGCTGCATGAAGGGTTTCCAGTTCCAAAAGAAAGATTTCAATTTACTGGAGCAGACAGAAACCCTAGGAGTTGGTTATGGATGCCCAGAAGACTCTCTGGTAAGTACCATTCAGTCAAGAGCTTTTCCCCAGGTAAACATAGCACTTTCTACAGCTAGATCAACCCTTTTCTGCTTCTCCGGGTGCCTCTCTGCTGCCAGGAGAAGGAAAACTCATTAAACTAGAAAGGCTTGTGGGACACCCCTGTCACCTATATCCCTGCTCCAGTTTCCAGTGGGTGGGGCATCCGAAGCCCAGAGAGGCTGTGCAAATGCTATTGGTCACTGGGGTGTAAGAAATGGGCGGAGCTGAAACCCAGCCGCTGTAGGAACACAGCTAGCGTGCCTGAATTCCAGCGAAAAGAAAACCCGAAACTCAAACAGCTTACACAGCAGGCGAGGCTCCTTGTATACGAAAACTGACACACATGTTCCACAATTACCACAAACACTGCATTTCCCTTTCCTCGTGCAGATATCTCGCAGAGCATATTTCAACGGGCAAAGTTTTATTGCTTCGGTTCAGAAAATATCTTTCTTTGATGGCTTTGAAGGGGGTTTCAATTTCCGAACGCTGCAGCCAAACGGGTTACTGTTCTACTATGCTTCAGGGGTAAGTACTTGTTTCCCTCTGAGGGTGCTTTGTGTGGCTGCTTTGTCTATCAGAATCAAGTTTTATGCATGTTAAAAAGTGAATTTTTTTATTCAGATTTTGACTCACAAATACACAGAGACTATCAGATGTTAAATATGCAATACACATATTTTAAATATAATTATCTTATTAAATCTTTGAGAATGTTATACAATGTATTTGATCATTCTCTCTCTCTCTCTCTCTCTCTCTCTCTCTCTCACACACACACACACACACACACACACACACACACACACACACACACGTTCCTTCCCCTAACTCTTCCTGTTTCATTCCACCTCCCTCCCTACCCCCAACCAGTGTCCTCTTTTTAATATATATAAAACCCTTCAAGTCCAAGTCTATTTTGTGCTGCCCATGTACTCCTGGGTATGAAGCCTTCCACTGGATCATTGACCTACCAGAGGCCTACCCTCAAAGAAAATGGACTCCCTCCTGAAGAAGCCATCAACAGACCACACCTCCTCAGTTGGGGTGGGCCTCACAAACCCCTTCCTCTCATGCTAGAATGTTGACTGGCTTGAGGTTTTACAGGTCCTGTTGAGGCAATCACAGGTGCCATGAGCTCATGAGTGTAGACGACACTTTGACTTCAGATTTCCCCAACCTCTGGCTCCTACAGTCTCTCCACTCCCCCTCCCTCCATGGTCCAGGAGCCTCAAGGGGAGGGAAGTGACACAAAAGTCCCATGAACTTACATTCTGAAAACTTTGACTAGCTGTGAGTTTCTGAGTTGACTGCCCTCCACTGCACAAAGAAACTTTGTAGATATAACCAACCGTCTTATTAAATAAGAAACACAGAACCAATGCAAAGACGAAAGCCAAGAGATCAGAGCTAAAAGCCTTACTCACCTGCTGCAGCTAACCTCTTTAGCCAAGAGACCTCTCCGAAAGAGACCTACTTCCTGTCTGTCTTTATATAGACTTTCTGTTCTGCCTTCTCATTGGTTGTAAACCCAACCACATGACCGCCTCGTCATGGTCTGTCTGTACAGACCTCCAGGTCTTCTATGGTTGGTATTGAGATTAAAGGTGTGTGTCTCCAATGTCGGCTGTATCCTTGAACACACAGAGATATACCTAGCCCTGCCTACCAAGTGCTGGGATTAAAGGTGTACACCACCAGTGCCCAGCTTTTGCTATGGCTCTAATAGCTCTGACCCCCAGGCAACTTTATTTATTAACATGCAATTAAAATCACATTTCAGTACAAATAAAATACCACCATAAAACTTCTCTGAGGACATCTAAGAACCAACCATACTAATCTATGGGTATTGAGATAAAAATCAGAGGGCATAGTTAGATGATACTATGTCTGTTTAGCTGAGTGACAGTGGTAAGTTCACCCCTGGGGCCTGTGAGCTCCCAACCATAGGTTCTCAGCCAGATTGACAGTACTGGGCATGTGTTTCCTTCTATGGAGCAGGCCTTAAATCCCGCCAGAAAGCAATTGGTTACCTCCATAACATGCAGGCCACTATTGCAGCCATAGACATATCTTCGTGTGGAATTCTGTTCTGCCGCTCGGGAGCTGATGGACAGAATTCAAAGAATCTGTAGACTCAATTGTGGAAAATTCTATCTTTATTTTCTCCAGCTGAAATAACATTGTCTTCTATTTTTTAATATGGCAACAAACCACAGTAGTGTTAGCAGTACCTCTAACTCTGTCACTCAACGGAATTACACATGTTTTTCACTTGACATTGCAGTTGACACAGACATTTGAAAATATCATTTTTGTTCATGTCTGCTAGTTTCAAAATGTAGAAGCTGTCAGGTCTATTAAATCTATTATTTAATGTCTTTATAAGGAAGAATATTACCATATATCACCAATTCCTTGTTTTACCATCTTGAGAGCAATATTTCAATGTACTAGATAGCCTTCCTATTCATGTGTATTTTGCCCTAAACATTTTAGGATATTGCTTTATGAAGGAAACCACATATATCCACAACCTGTTCGAAGTACCCATGGCACCATAATAACAATAACCTCTCCATATAAGAACAAAGACATGTGTGATTTAATTTATACATTAGAAAGAAGTTACACTCTTCTTTGCCTTTGGATTTACAACAGCTTACAAAACTTATGTCAAAATATGGCTCAGGGACCAAGAACCGGCCTCACATGCATGAAGCCCTGGTTCAATCTTCATTCCCATGAAAATAAATAAGATCTGTAGAAGATTGGCGAAGCTAAGATTCAGCGTCTGTATCTTGCTCGGCCTTGTTACAATTTTTGGAAGCAAACTTTGCTTTTTACAGATACCTGTATCTGTCACCTTCGTTTGGATATATTGGGAGAGTTAACATGTGCATGTACACATGTGTGCTTATGCATGTGGAGGCCAAAGGACAGCCTCAAGCATCATTCTTCCTCAAGTGCCATCCACCTGGAGCTTGTTTGGTTTTGGTTTTGTCTCTCAGTGGCAATGTGGCCAGTGAACCCGGGTCTCCATCTCCCCAGTGCTGGGATTACAAGTGTGTGCCACCATGCCCAGCTCTTTGCGTGGGTTCTGGGGATCAAATGGGGTCCCCATGCTTGTACAACAGGCCTTTCGTAGACTGCAATATCATCCCAGCTCTGTCACTTTCATTTTCAAGGTAATTTTAATCAATAGCACCCATGGGAATTTACAGAGAGCATTTTGTAGAACTTTTGCCCTCAAAGCTTGCCTTCGATTACCCTGGTTCTTTAATAATTTTCTGTCACAGCCGGCTGTTTTTGTATGCAGTTGGGGTTTGTGGACGGGCAGCTGACTTTAGAAGTCAGCGTGCATGTAAAGAATGGGAAACATTGTCATCCACCAGTGTTTTAAAATAAGCAGTACACAAATTCAGAAAAGAAGTAATTTCTGCTTGAAATTACTTGAAAGGAAGGTCTCTTCTATCTCAATGTATCAAATAAGTGAAGCACTTAAAAAAACATACAAGTGAATTAACTCCAGCTCCTTCATCTAGCTACATCCTCCAGGAGGCTGAAATACTCTCTTTCAAAGGGATCACATGAGACTGATATGGTAGAAATGCTTTGGCCAGGAAAGTCATTGAGACTAAACCAACTCTTGGCATGACAAAATCACCAAAGGGTTTCAGTTCAAAATATGGGAGTATCTTTTTTTTCCATTGAAATATGTGTGTGTGTGTGTGTGAGAGAGAGAGAGAGAGAGAGAGAGAGAGAGAGAGAGAGAGACTACAAGTATATTCCTCCTATGTGTTGAGGTCAAAGCACACCTCTCAGGCATCAGTTCTCACCTTCCACCACCATGTTTGGAGGCAGCAGGATCTCCCTTGTTTTTGACACTTCCGTGTGGACTCCAGGTGTGCAACACTTCTATCTACATTTCCTGTCTCACTATAGTATTACCGTATTACAGATGCATGCTACTGGACCTGGTTTTTACATGGATTCTGGGGTTCTGAATTTAGGTCATCAGACTTTCAGGGCAAGCACATTTACCTACTGAGTCAGCCCTGAAACATGTCTACTTTTATAAGCAGCATTTACACAGGCCAAAGTGTTTAGTTGTTGCTATTCACAGAAACTATCCTACTGGCAAATTTTCTGCTCACGGGATATTAAGCAATACCATCAAGTGACTTTTGAAAACATGTCCAGTTTTTATCCTGAGATTCCCACTTAAATACCTGTGCTTGTATTTCAGTCTGATGTGTTTTCCATTTCCCTGGACAATGGGACTGTCGTCATGGATGTAAAGGGCGTCAAGGTTAAGTCGGCAGACAAGCAGTACCACGATGGGCTGTCCCACTTCGTCATTACCTCCATCTCACCCATGAGGTAGAGCTCCTCCCTTCCTGTACCTCCCACCAGGACCTTAATTTGCAGGGTGTGCTCCTGTCAAATGTCGCTGCGGCTCCTAAGCTTTTCTAGTGTTGCAAAAAAAAGTGATGGAAGGAACAGCTTGCCTTCTTCCCCAAAGGATGCTATTCATGTTCAAGAGACACCAAAGAAACCATCAGAAAGTTGTTTAACAAATGCAGACTCTTTGGTGGTGGAGGGGGGTCAATATGAAGATCAGTTTTCATCTCTGCCCTGGCAGTGCACACTTATGCTGCTTGGTGAATGGAGTATGGCACAGAGAAGGGTTCAGCAAATACTGGCCATGTTTAAATTTTGGACCTAAACAGTAAAGGATGTTACATGTATGGCCCCATTTTAAGAGCTCCGACTTCATCTTTAAACTGTGTATTACTGAATTTCTTTTTCATAAAACAAAATTATTTTGGAGTAAGAAGTAAGCCTCTGAGGAAGACTGCTGCTGCCCTGTCTCCTTGTGTAGAACACCCCCCATCAAAAGCAAATGGTGGTACAGTTTCTGTAGACTCTGTTCCTAGTGATCAGCCCCAGTGTGCTGTGCAAGGAAACTGGCCTCGCGTACATGTGATGGTTGCCAGAGGTGTGCTCTGGTTCCCCCTACAAAACTCTCACCACGGAGATTTAAATTCCAGCCTCCGTGTGGAGAGCCCTCCTTGCACACAGGCGTATTTAGCCATTTCCCCCTGGGCCTCCTGAGGAATCTGTCTTTTCATTCAGGAGAGGTTTCATTTCGCCCCTGTGAGAGAGCCTGCCTGTCTGGTGAAACGCAGCGGTGGGGTAAAATGGGCCGTGCGTGAAGACTCTTTCCTTTGCAGATACGAACTGATAGTAGACAAAAGCCGACTCGGAAGTAAGAACCCGACAAAAGAAAAGGTGGAACAGACTCAGACAAGCGAGAAGAAGTTCTACTTCGGGGGCTCACCCATCAGTCCCCAGTATGCTAACTTCACCGGATGCATAAGCAACGCCTACTTTACCAGGTACGCTGTTTTTCACCGGCAAATGTGTCTGATGGGTCTTGATCAATACCGTAGTGAAATGTTTACATTAGTGGAATTGATAATTATGAATCTTACAGTCCTTAGCAGCTAGTAATGAAAAGTTCATGTGCTTAAGCAACTGATGTATGTGGGTTTGTAAGTCTCTTGCTCTTTGATTCCCGTCTTGCTGTGGCTAAGCAAGCCTTCATTTTCTCCACCTGCAAAATACAGATAACAAAGGCACCTGCTTGGCAGGCCTGTCATAGAAATACATGAGACAATACGTATTAAGGCACCTTGCACAGCACCTGGTGTATAACAAGCTACAAATATGATGCAATTATTTTTGTGCTGGCTATTAATAATAAACTATAGATAAGCATACCAAAAATCCTTGTTCAGAGTTTAAGGTCTTCTTAATGTCATGCCTAACTTCAAACAAAGCCACTGATCGAGATCCTTAAGAGACAACAGAGGCTCTGGGGATACAAGAACAAGCAAGGGAGAAACTGGACACAGACGAAGAGACACAGGCATAGCCCATCCAGAGTCTCGAGGAAAAGACACCTGTCAGTCAGAATGTGGAGTGCCAAAAAGTAGTGTTAGTTAACGGAACGGTAATTGTAGGATTCCTGTTAAGATAGGTAAGGATCCAGCACACAAACTCAAGATGATACACACATACACACACGTACATTTCCACTGCCACCGCTTTTTGCCATAGTTTTCATTATGTAATTATGGACAGCATTTTTAGGATGATCTTTCCTCTTACACACACAGGTTGGATAGAGATGTGGAAGTGGAAGATTTCCAGCGCTATTCCGAAAAGGTCCACACTTCACTGTACGAGTGTCCCATTGAGTCGTCGCCACTGTTCCTCCTTCACAAGAAAGGAAAGAACTCCTCAAGACCTAAAACAAATAAACAGGTAACGGCTGCCACCATGCGGAAGTCACAGTTGCCCTTGCGCTCTGCATGTACAACTCCAGGCACAGTGGCCTTGTAGAACCTGCCCTCGCTGACGCGTGTGCGCACGTGGGAGAGGGTTCTTGCAGTGGCTTACCAGATGTGCTGCACCAGGGGTTGTTCTCAGAGGAGCTGGGTCAGCTGTTTACTTCCACTTCTAATGGTTTTTCATTAAAGGCAATCAAAATAGCACTGCTCTTAATAGTGCGTGTGTGCGTGTGCGTGCGTGCGTGCGTGCGTGCGTGCGTGCGTGCGTGCGTGCGTGCGTGCGTGTGTGTGTGTGTGTGTGTGTGTGTGTTTAATGTCCAGCACTATAACTTTCCACTATAATCTAATTTCAGTAATAATTCTAAGCCTTTGTTGCAATATTGAAAATCATTAAAGTTTGTTTTAACTTCTCAACCTTTGTGTTCCTCCCCCTACACGTGGATGTGGACTCTCCTTCCTTAAATACTGAGCTGTAAAATTTCATCTCTGACCGCTGTTCTTTCTTATTTACTCATGCACATTATCTGGTTCCGTTACAAATGGAAGCCCCGGTCCCTCCCCATTCTCTTAGTATAATACTTCCTGTCTCCTTCTTGGTGCAGTTTTAGCAATGCTCTGTCAATGCTTCTGCCTCTGCAACAGCTTCCACACAGAGTTCCTTGTTTCACTTTGTTGTTGTTGTTGTTGTTTGAGACAGGGTTTCTCTGTGTAATTTTGGTACCTGTCCTGGATCTCGCTTTGTAGACCAGGCTGGCCTCGAACTCACATAGATCCACCTGGCTCTGCCTCCCGAGTGCTAGGATTAAAGGCGTGCGACACCACTGCCCGGCCTTGTTTCTACTTTGCTCCCACACCATCTGTTCTGGGCACGGCATCCAGACCCATATGCATGTAAACCATACCAGGCACTCCTCTAATCAAAGTTCTCCCACCCCCAGTGCACTCAGGAGAAAAGCCAGAGCCCCTACAGTTCCCGCCAGGTCCTGTGTGATCAACACACCTTCCGCTCTGTTCATCTCTTTCCCTTGCTCACCTCACTCACTCTTCTCCCCCACCAGCCCTTTACCAAAACTGACCACATTAGCCCCTACCTTAGAGTGTTTATTCAGCCTCTTCCATCCCCCTTCCGCTCTTCTCTCAGATCTCAAATCTGCACAATTTCTCCTCGGCCCCCCTCTAGGGACCTCTCCTTTACTCAGTGAGACCTACCTTAGCTGCCTATCCAGTACTGCAGCCTACCTGCTGCCTCTCACCAATACTGTCCATAGTTTTGCCTTTTTCTGGTTGTTCTTTTTCCGTACGGGATAAAGTGTAACTTACCAAGCTTCATGTAGATTATGAAGATGTATCTTCAGTAGCTGCCAAGAAAAACATGTCACCTCTGTCTTAAATGTTTGTTTGTTTGACACAGGTTTTTCTCTATGTAAACCTGGCTGTCCTGAAACTCACTCTGTAGTCCAGACTGACCTTGAACTCACAGAGATCTGCCTGCCTCTTCCTCCCAAAAGTGCTAGCTAGAATTAAAGGCATGTGCCACCACACCCAGCCCTGATTTAAATTTTTATCAAATTTGCATTAAAGGGCTTGGATTATAATAATTTATTTTCACAATCACTTCCTCTGAGTGCATAGTTGAATAAATTTTTAGAAGAGATTCCAGGAGATAGAATTACTGGATCAAGGCAAATCATTGCCACGAGCCACAAGAATATATTATAGAGGTTCAGCTGTATATAATAAGCTATACCTTGACTGACCAAGCTATACTTCCAGAGGAAGCCATTTATCAAGGAATATTTGGTGTTATTTATCTTATTAATACATATCAGCTGTCTTCTGCTATGAAATTCTTGTGCACCCATATACTACTAGGCCATATTGGCAAACAACTAAGCTTCTCAGACCTGCTGATCCACTAGGTAACTAACACCCCTGCAGGGCCTAGGAGATTGACAGGCTATAGATGCATAGCTTTGTTTCTTGTGCAAATGAAGCTCAGACCATCCCTTGCCTTCAAGCCTGGTATCATGGCAGAGCAATTGACTCAGGACAGTAGGGCTTTTTTGCATAACCAGGTGCGGTAAGGACTGAAGCGGAATTCCAGAGGCAGACAGAGCCAAGTAGCCAGAGAGACAAGAACAAGGAGAATTTCTGTAGATGGTGAGCAGAGCCGCGTGGCCAGGAGAGAAAGGACCAGGAAGTTTCTGTAGATGGTAGACAGAGCCACATGGCCAGACAGAAGAGAAAAAGGCAGGGTTTCTGTAGATAGTAAGGCAGATCTTTTGTAGAGTTTTCTCAGAGCCAAGAGTAAGGAGCAAGGAAAGGAAGATGGAGGATGAAGGAACAGAAGATGAGGATGAGATCGAAAGCACAGGAGCTTAGTTATTACTAGGGCTATGAGGGGACAGGAAAAGAAGGGACAAAGAGGAACTGAGTGTCAGGACAGGACTGAAGCTGTATGAATAGAATTTTATCCTAGAGAAATAAAGTAAATGGATATAGAGCATAGTGTACATAGATTCTTTTCCCGCAGATAACCCCACGCCAGATGTAGCGTCTTCCCTTGGACTCTGAGAGGAATCTTCTCAGGGCAAGTCCCTGGGAAAATTCTGTTAAATCATGTTCCCAAAGAGGTAACACTAATTTTATATTTCTCCACAAGTCCTTGACAAAACCTGTCTTAAAAAACTGTGTTCCAGGCTTAAAGTTTTTTCAGGCATTTTAAGATATGCTTTAAGATGAACTGGGAAATTTTCATATGTAACATAATAGTGAACAGTTTGTTCACTGATGGGATCACTATGGGTATCTGGTCAACCACTCTTTTCTGAGAACTGACTCCCTACCCACTGTCTAGGTCCTGTGGTTTAGGACTGTGACACCCACTTCTCTGGATATAGGTGATCGGACCAGTATTTATCCCCTGAACTGAGCAGGACTAGAAAATCATCTTCCTTGTGAAGGAACCCAAGGAAGCTGTTCTGATCATTGACTACAGATCCTGTAAGCTTTAGAGCACTGTGTCAGCCATGGACAAAGAAAGGGGCTTTCTAGAAAGAATAAAAGCCAGAAGACTGCCCTAAAGAGAAAAGAGAGAGTGAGAACAAGATACGGGAGACAGAGACAAAGAGAGACAGACAGAGAGCTCTGAGATACCAGAAGCCTCCACAAAGCAAGGACCTAGATTCTGTCCAGTCCCGAATTCCTGTTTAGGACCCTACTCTAGTATGTCTTCTGTTGGGCTGCCTGAGAAATCGCCTTGTCTTTATCACAACTGCCTGCTTTTTCTTTGCTCACTCAACTAGTTGCTGTTATCTGGCCCACATAAAATGGTGATGAATTAAAAGCTGATGCCACTAGCAGGGTTGTAACTCATATGCTCTAAAAGAAGGAGACCACCCTGGCAAAGGCAAGATCTGAAGGGGTTCCCCAAGAATCCCCATGCATGTGCCCATAAAGACAATAAGCTGAATGTCTTTATTGTATAGCAGTATGTAATTCAGCTATAACTGGTCTTTTTCATCATTATCAAGAGCATATATCCACAGAAAATTGAGAGTATTTGGTTGCTGTACAGAAAGAGACCAGAGTTCATTCAGTTTTGCAGCAGACAAGCCCCCACACTGAAACAGAGAAAGGCTGGTCAGTTAGTACAGTCACAGTCCATGTCACGCTATGCTTGCTCAGCCTGGGAGTCCAATTTAGTTCTTTAACTGAGTGTGAAAGAGTGAGATCCCTTCCACTGAAACAGGAGGGTGGGGAAAATCCATAACTCCTAACCCCTTCCATTTTCCAAGCCTTATACAAAGCATCTCTATCAGGCCCCTCTCCTTGAGACAAACATGTCTATGTTTCCCATTGTAAGATTCTGACAAGACTAGACTATAATGAGGGTTTAGAAGAAACTTGTAAGATGAATTGCTAAATGGTCTTATTAATAAAAAAAAAAAAAAAAAAAAAAACCCGAAGCCAGATGCTGAGGTTAAAACTGACAGATCAGAGGAATAGGAGAAGCCACAGCCAACCTCACCTCACCAACTCCTCAGCTTCCAAAGAGACCTACTTCCTGTATACTCATGCCTATATGCATTTCTGACCCTGCTCTCTCACTTCCTCTCTCCACCCAGCTATATCACTTCCTCTTTCTGCCCACCTCTATTACTTCCTGCCTGTCTGTACAGACCTCCAGACCTCCATGGTTAGTGCTGGGATTAAAGGCATGTGCCACCATGCCTGGCTCTGTTCCCCATGCGGCCTTGAACTCAGAGATCCACATGGATCTCTGCCTCCTGAATGCTAGGATTAAAGGCACATGCTACTGTTGCCTGACTTCTGTGTTTAATATAGTGGCTGGCTTTTTCCTCTGATCCTCAGATAAGTTTTATTGGAGTGCACAAAGAAAATATCACCACAGAAACTTCTTCATCTACATTAGAGCCTCACTTTTGGTCATTCTTGGCTTGAAACTGTGCTTTTTTTTTTTTACTCTTTTGGCTCTATTCTCTTTGGGAGCCTGCCACGCAGCTCCCAAACAAATATGCACAGAGACTTATTACTTATAAATGCCCAGCCTTAGCTTGGCTTGTTTCTAGCCAGCTTTTCTTAAATTATCCCATTTATCTTTTGTCTCTGGGCTTTTACCTTTTTCTATTTCTGTATACCTTTCATTACTTCTTACTCCATGGCTTACTATGTAGCTGGGTGGCTGGCCCCTTGTGTCCTCCTCTCTTCCTTTTCTCATTCTTTGATCTCCTCTTCCCAGATTCCTCTTCCTATTTATTCTTTCTGTCTGCCAGCCCCACCTATCCTTTCTCCTGCCTTGCTATTGGCCATTCAGCTCTTTGTTAGACCAATCAGGTGTTTTAGACAGGCAAAGTAACACAGCTTCACAGACCTAAAAGAATGCAACACATCTTTGCATCATTAAACAAATGTTCCACAGCATAAACAAATGTAACACATCTTAAAATTATATTCTACAACATAAAACTATGGTAATTATTTGTAGGTGAGCATATGGACCCCAAACTAAAGATAATTAGGTGCATTTCCTCCATCAGAAGGGAAACTTGGCCTCTAGCAATGAATCACTGAGTCCTGTGAACTTTGTGAGGAAGGAAAGGGGGATGCTGGGATCGGGTAGGCTTTCCTTTAGGACATTGTTAGTCTTTGAGCCCCATCTCCCTTTCTCCAACTCAGCTCCCACTATGAGACTCTCCACTGCCAGAGTCTTTAGAAGAGCCGCTGCCCTGGGACCAGCCCTAGCACAGCCCATCTGTACCTAATTAGCCTTGCACCACATCTGGATTCCAAGGATAGTTACAGAACAGCACTGAGTTTCTTAGAGGTTGCTTTGCTCATAGGAGATTAAGAGTTGTATGCCATTCTTTTTAATCAGAGTGGTGTTTCCAGAAACCTCACATCACTTTGTTCTGCTGGTTAAAAATAAATAAATAAGTAAACCTTCCCAGAACAACTGTGGGCTTTGTTTGTTTGTTTGTTTGTTTGTTTGTTTGTTAATGTGTGTAGATCTGACACTTCAGCAGGAATTCAGGAGGGGTTAACAAGCACATTCAATAATACTGAACATCTTACAAGGCTCTCTAGCCCTTCCTGCTGCCAAACATCTCTCCTATCAGCTCCCTGAGTAGGTCAGATCTGACCACTCCCTGCTTTAAAACCTATGTGGCTCCTCATTGCCTAAAAACAAAACTCTCCCTGTAGCCCATCATCTAAAGAGCTTTTTCTCTGTCACCAACTCGATCCCCAGTTTCCTTTTATAGACTTGTTTCTCCAAATTGATTATCAGTTCTTAAAAACTGACAGTCATCTCTCACCTTCCTAGTCCCTACCACATAGCACCCACAGAATGCCTACCACATAGCACCCACAGGATGCATGCAGGAACATTGATTTTCTTTTATCTCCACCTCTACCCATCCAATAAATGTTTGCTTTGAATAGTGAATAAATTATTACATACTTGATTTTATTCACATTTTTATTTTACATCAGAAATAGACTACATAATCATTTAATATTATCCAATAGTTTCATAACACTACATTTCAGCATCAGCAGGGCAATTTGAAAAGCATAACAAATCATCAAAGAAAAGATTTTTGTATTTTATATTTTAAAATGCTGTTTTATATTGATTCTATCACACAAAGTTTCTTTACATAGTCTGTTGCCAAAAAATAATTCTAAATATTTTCCAGCTTTTTAAAGATTTATTTGTATGTATGAGTGTTCTAACTGCATGCATGTCTGTGTACCATGTACACCTCTGGTGCCCAAGGAGATCAGAAGAGGTCTTGAGATCTCGTGGAACTGGAGCTAATGACTGCTGTGAGCTGTCGTGTGGGTGCTGGGAACCACACCCAGGTGCTCTGGAAGTGAAGCCAGTGCTCTTAACCACTAACCCACCTCTCCAGCCCCGATCTCTCAACTTTTTACACAGCGTATATAAATAATACTGTATGTTAATGTGATGTTGCAGCTGTGTGAAGATTTTATTGGCTGATTCTCTCAAGGCTGTTTTATTGCCGACTGTTATTGTATGCATTGAGTTTGAGTGACAGAGCAGTTGTCTCTGAAGCTGCACTTTCACGTGGTTTTTAATCACAGACTAGAATTCTGGGTCTGCTAACGTGCTGTGTGGTTATCGTTGCTGTTGCTTGTTCATGATGCTAGAGGGAAAAGTAGCCTGCTATTTCATGAGCGGGAAACTCACGAGTAACGGCCACTTTGCTAACTCCGTGTTCTCATTAAGGGTAAAGACGTTGCGTACTCAATTTTGTTACCGGCTGTGCCACTTTCCATCTCTCCACTTCACTTCTTTCCGACAGGGGGAGAAAAATAAGGATGAACCTTCTGCATGGGATCCTGTTGGCCTGAAGTTCCCAGAGCGGAAGGCTCCGAAAGACTCTCACTGCCACCTCTCCAGCAGCCCCAGAACAATAGAACATGCCTATCAATACGGAGGCACGGCCAACAGCCGCCAGGAGTTCGAACACGTACAAGGAGACTTTGGTGAAAAGTAAAGGAGTGCACTGCCTTCTGGGAGACGCGTGCCATGCTCTGTCCTCCTCTGTCACCGCCACTTTCTCCTCCCTTCCCTTTATGTGTCCTCCTAATCCTGTCATTTTTTTCCTTGTCAAACTATACACTAAACAATATGTGATTCCTTCTTTCCAAGAAATCGTGCTCACACTTTCTCTCCAAGGAGACAGCACATAGAACAGCATTCTCGCAGTTTACCAAGGTTGCTAGAAGAAGAGGCGTCTTAATCAGGGGGGGAGTTCCAAAGGGCTCATCTGCTGACTTGACGTCCCCTCCCCTCCCCTCCCCCACATAGATGGCATTCAGATTGTGAATGAGCATGCACCTAAACCTCTAGTGATCCAGAGACCTGGAAAATATAAATGTCCTTGTCCATCTGCGGCCCTCCAGCTGCCCCAAACCCCATTAATTCTTCACAAATCCCTAATGACTCTGTGTTATTAAAAATTACTTTTCATAGTGTTTATGTACCCAGCAGGCAAAATCAGTGTTTTTTGTATTCTTCATGAAGGAAACTTAAAAAAATGTGACTTACCCACACTTGGAGCTAAAGTTCTAGGCAGGTTTCTTCACACACATATTTCCACCCCCTTGGGTGGCTGTGTTTGACATGTGACATTTGTCTATAGTATAGACTATAGTATAGACCCTTCTACTGCAAGGAGCCTTAGTCTATGATTTATGTAGTATATAAACAATAGTTCTGTGAAATTTTCTCTATGCATGTTAATTACTTGTTGCCATTTATCCACAGAGATAAGTTAATATAACATGTTAATTTTTAGTGTTTACTAATTCTATTAGATATGATTCTCTAGAGCAGTGGCTCTCAACCTGTAGGGCAAGACCCCTGTGAGGGTCGAATGACCCTTTCACGGGGGTCACCTAACACCATAAAAAAACAGATATTTACTTTATGATTCATAACAGTAGCAAGATTACAATTATGAAGTAGCAATGAAAATAATTTTATGGTTGGAGGTCACCACAGCATGAGGAACTGTATTAAAGGGTCACAGCATTGGGAAGGTTGAGAACCACTGCTCTAAAGGAACTGATAGAATGAATATAGAGAGATAAAAAGAGGATTTGTTAGAGGCTGTGGTCTGGCTAGTAAAACAATGGCTGTCTCCCAACAGAAGGGCAAAGAACCCAGTAATTGTTCCACCCATGAAGCTAGATGTCTCAGCTGGTTTGTTATCTATGTCCCAGTCCCAAAGAAGTAGATTCTAATATCAACAGAGGAAGACCTCTGCAGCAGGGTAGATGAACTTACCAGCAAGACATAGAGCAGACAAAGATCTAAAGCTTCCTTCTTCCATGTCCTATTACCTCAGCACTCTCCAGAAGGTGTGGCCCACATTTAAGGTGGTTTTTCAGACCTCAAAAGATCCAGATTTAGGGTGGGTCTTCCCACCTCAAATAATCCAACCAAGAAAAATCCCTCACAGGTGCACCCAGCTGCTTGAGTTTTAGTTAATTCCAGACATAGTCAAATTGACAACCAAGATTAGCCATCACACTAATTTTCAAAGCAAAGACCCCATAAGATCCACAAACAAGACAAGACTTTATTAAGATTATAACAGACCTCTAGAGAATAGTAAAGATGTAGGTTCATGGGGTCCTCTGGGCCTGAAATTTCTAGAATAGGTCTAGAGAAGAATTTGCATTTTTGAAGTAACCAAGCATACCCAATAAAATTCATTAGCTCACAGTAAGGGATAATTCAAAAGAAGCTGTTTGGAACTAGATAGGATGACTGTTCTTTCTTGGACTGTATTACTTGGAAATTTTATCTTGCAATATTATTCCCAGTCTCACTTTACATCTATGACTTCTCTTTTCCTTGACCAGATCTCAGTTTTCCATTCGTCTGAAAACCCGCTCCTCACATGGGATGATTTTCTATGTCTCAGACCAAGAAGAGAATGATTTCATGAGTCTCTTCTTGGCTCATGGCCGCTTGGTCTTCATGTTTAATGTTGGCCACAAGAAACTGAAGATTAGAAGCCAGGAGAAATACAACGATGGATTATGGCATGATGTAAGTTGAGTATGGAGAGCAGCGCTGTCAGCCAGTATTGCCCATTGCCCAGGGGAGTCGCACTGACTCTACACTGTGGCCTGATAGAAACAGCCATGTCAAAATTCTGAGGCTGTGCACCCAGGGTTCAATTTCAACCATTTATTTATTGCTTATTTTAAAAGTCTTCAACCATATATTAGGTAGTCACAGGCTAATTGTAATTATTTTAACCGAAGTCCCAGTAATCAACATGAGCTAAAGTTCGGTTTCTAATGAATTTTTTTCCTTTTTTCCCACTAACCAGTAGGCTAAGTTCATAATTTTTGACACCTATTACTGACTTTATTTCAAAAAGTAATCTATGGGAGGTATGCAGTGAGTAAACCACTTGGAAGACAGGCTCTTCCGATGGGGAGTACCTAAACACTGGAGGTAGCCAGTGAGTGTGGAGCGGTTCTGTACAAGGTGTGTTACAGTTAGCTGTAGAATGTGGCTGGTTGTAGAAGGATTTTTCTTTGGGCCGCCACCTCACAAATAACAACATGGAGACATTATTAATTGTGAAAGCCAAGCCTTGGCTTAGGCTTGGCTTAGGCTTGTTCCTAGGTAGTTCTTATAACTTAAATTAAGCCCTATTTTTTTTTTAAAAATCTATGGTCTGTCACGTGGCTCCATATCTCATCTCTCCGAACTACCCATCCTGCTTCCTCCATGCTGGCTAGGGACTTTGCCCTCTTCCCCCAGAGATCTCTCTCCGCCCAGAAGCCCTGCCTATCTCTCCTGCGTAGCTCTTGGCTGTTCAGCATTGTGTTACACCGATCACAGCAATACACCTTCACACGGTGTACGAATATCCCACGACAGCTGGTCAGCTAGGAGGAGTCTCCTAAAGCACCCTGCCAGAAATATAACCCGTACCCAGAGATGGAACCTATAGCTTTAGGTCATTCAACCTAGAGATAAGAAAATAGGTGAACACTTGCCCTAATGCATGAAGAGGTAAACCCAAGGAGAGCCAGAGGGGGGAAAAAGCCAGAATACATAAAGCAAGGAGCAACACAGAGACAGTTGTAATAAAGATGTCTGCTCTGGGACAAAGAATCAAGGAATAAAGTTAATGACGCTCGAAGAACAGGATAGCCGAAAGCCCACTAAGAGGAAGGGAGAAGGGTGCTGACCTTCAGAGACGGGGTCACGGTTCTGAGAACCTTCTGTGCCTTCCCACAGCGTTGCAATACCAGGGTTAGGAGGGTAGACAACACAGCCTTCCCCCGGGTTGGGGCCATCACTAAGCTGGGCTAGTCTCCTCCTCCTCTCCATCCAGGTGATATTTATTCGGGAAAAGAGCAGTGGCCGACTGGTCATCGACGGCCTGCGAGTCCTAGAAGAAAGCCTTCCGCCGAGCGGGGCTGCCTGGGAAATCAAGGGTCCCATTTATTTGGGAGGAGTGGCTCCTGGAAGGGCTGTGAAAAACATCCAGGTAAGCCAGCTGCGGCGAGACTCAGTCGCTGACCCTTGAACCGGAAGATCGCTGATTCCGGGTCCTCATTTCACAGAGGAGGAAGCTAGCAAACGTGAAACGGGTTTTGCTGGAGCAGAAGCATCCTGGGCTGTCCCGTGGGCTTTTCCTGTCTGCCCTGGGACCTTACAAAGTCAGCTGTCACCTTTTGATTTTAAAATAGACGTGAGATGAGGGCATCTCATTAGTTCGCAAGTTCCTATAATTTTATGTAAAGCTACACCAAGACCAGAGAACAAGCCATTCCACTATATTACTGAGTGGGGGCGGGGGGGGGGACCCTTCTGCTCATTTAAATTCAGTTTCACTTTTTTTCTTTCTCACATATAATTTTTAAATATGCAAGGAATGTGGGTATAAGTGGAAGGATTGAGAATATAAGAAACATTTTTGTAAATTGAATTGTAACTATTACATGTTTTTAAAATGTTTCTCAGTGAAAGGAAGGTATCAAAGGACTTAATTTATCTAGACATAGATTTGATTTTATCACAGTGTCAGTACAATGTTAAGATCCTAAAAAGGCGGTTCACAGTGTAATTAGACTTGGAGTAAACAGCCCCAATTCTGTGACCATCATTTTTCATTGTTTCCAACTGTAGTATAAAATCAGTTGTCTAAAGGTGACCCAAGTGCCGTGTCCTGTAGTAAGATTCACAACTATCATAGTAGTATAGTTCATAATAATAGTATAAATAATGTAATGTAAATGCACAATGACATGATGGGCTAATGAGGACAGTTCGGCAAGCTTCCTGCCATTTGCATAGAATTTTCCTCCACATCATGATCTTGGGCTCAGCTGTCATTCCTGGAGGTAAATGAATAACACTACACGATCTTCAACTGGAAAACCACAGCTGCAACTTATTTCATCACAGCCTGTGGAAACAGTTCCACAGCCTAATGACTACACGCTGATGTTATGAAGTACAAAATTCCACCCTCGATGAATTAGTTAAAAGTAATTACCTGGAGCAATATTGATCATTCAGAAAGGTAGAATGAACAAGGGGGTGTCTCTTCCTCTCAAGGCTCACTGGTTTGCTTTCCCATGGTGCATCTAGCGCTGGGCCAGGGGATTTGAAGTAACCTCTCCTTCTTCCTTCAGATTAACTCCGTCTACAGTTTCAGCGGTTGCCTTGGCAATCTGCAGCTCAATGGTGCCTCCATCACCTCGGCCTCCCAAACATTTAGCGTGACCCCGTGCTTTGAAGGGCCCATGGAGACAGGAACTTACTTTTCGACAGAAGGAGGCTATGTGGTGCTAGGTAATGTGACTGCTCTGGTGTGATTATGGTCGGCCCCAGCTAAACTCGAGTTAAAGCTTGCTCCCCCGGGGCAGCACATCCAGAATGGGGCCCTGTGAGAGGTGATTCGGTCATTGGAAAGATGAACGCTGTTCTCGTGTGAGTGGACTGTTCACTCTCTGAAGACAGCGCTGTTCACCATCAGTGTGAGTTGCATAAAGCTGGCCCCTCTCCTCTCTGTGTATACACATCCACACACACCCTTCCACTTCTGCAGTAAGAGTCTCAACAGATGTTGCCACCATGCTCCTATATTTTTCAGCCTCTGGGACTGTGAGCCAAATACACCCCCTTTCTTTATAAATCAACCAGTGTCGGGTATCCTGTTATAGCAACATAACAGATTCAGACAAGGATGTGTGTTGAAAGCAGGAGTCCTGAAATGCTTTTTTTCCTGGAGATAGTTAACAGGGAATTTTAAGCCCAAAGTTAAAATTTAATAATGCCAAGCTCATCTCTGTAAGATCCCTCATTCCTGTAAGGTCCCTCGTTCCTGTAAAGTTCCTCTTTCCTCACGGACCACTGTGATCTCCTTTACTGTTTCAACCGAAATATGCAGCACCAATCCTTGTTGCTTTCGTTGGCCAAACTTCTGGGTGCAGACCATTTTGATGCAGAACTTCCTACACTGCCCTGTGACCTGGTCAGCTCTTGGCCACCTTATTCCTCCAAGTTCTCGTTTGTTAGTATGAACTATTGTCCCCACTGAAGGAAATTACATTCCCTCCCTCTTGCCGCTCTGAAACCCCAGTACAACACTGCCTTTCAGAGATCTTATTCTGAAGATTTTCTCCCAACCATTACTGCCCTGCTCATGCATTCAGCAGCTTTTATTGCACACCACCTGTACAGCAGTCTTGTGCATACCACCTGTATGGCAGTCTGTGTGCACACCACCTGTACAGCAGTCTGTGCGCACACCACATGTATGGCAGTCTGTGTGCACACCACCTGTACAGCAGTCTGTGCGTACACCACATGTATGGCAGTCTGTGTGCACACCACCTGTACAGCAGTCTGTGTGTACACCACATGTATGGCAGTCTGTGTGCACACCAC